CTTTAGCCACCAACCTTGCCTTGTAGCGCACATCATTCTTATGAGGAAATCCATCTTTCTTTGCAAATACCCACTTGCATCCTATCGCCTTCTTGCCTTTTGGTAGTTGCTTCACCTTCCAAGTTTGATTCTTCTGGAGGGACAACATTTCTTCCTCCATAGCCCACTTCCACTTCTTATTTTCTAAACTTCGAATTGCATCTTGAAAAGTGAAAGGTATGTCATCATCAACAATTGGAAGTGCATAAGCCACCATATCCACCAATCGAGCAGATTGTTGAATCTCTCGTCTAGGCTTTCTCAATGAAATGGGTAAATCTAATGATTCATGAGTCTGAACTTCATCATCCGACGAATCGTTTGATATTGTTTCGTCTATCATAGCTGGTTGTCTCGTCATTGCATCTATCTCCACCTGCTTCGGTGTCAACTCCACCTGTTGGGTTCGCGTCGTCTTTACCATACTTTGTTCATCGAATGTAACATCCCTGCTAAACACAGTTTTGTTCGTCTCAAGACACAAAACACGATATCCCTTCACGCCAATTGTGATTCCCATGAACAAAGCCTTTTTCGCTCGTGGATCTAACTTTGAATCCTTCACATGATAGAACGTAGGATACCCAAAGACATGTAAAGATCCATAGTCAGCAACAGGTTTCCCCGACCATATCTCCAACGGTGTTTTACCATCTTTTGCAGATGATGGCAAACGATTTATAAGGTGTTGCGCGTATGTTACAGCCTCAGCCCAGTACTCCTTGCCCAAACCAGCATTGGAAAACATACATCGAACTTTCTCCACCAATGTTCGATTCATGCGCTCCGCCACCCCATTTTGTTGTGGTGTCTGTCTAACGGTGAAGTGCCTAACAATGCTATTTTTACGGCAAACTTCTTGAAAGGGATCGCTTGTATATTCTCCACTATTGTCCGTTCGTAGGACCTTGATCTTCCTTCCAGTCTGGTTCTCAATTTTTGTCTTCCATGTAATGAAGACACCAAGCACTTCATCCTTCGTCTTCATAGTGTACACCCAAATACGTCTGGAAAAGTCATCGATGAAAGTGACAAAATAGCGTCTTCCGCCTAATGATGGGGTCTTAGAACGTCCCCACACGTCCGAATGAACATAATCCAAGATACCTTCGGTATTATGGATAGTCGTTCCAAACTTCACTCTCTTCTACTTTCCCAGAACATAGTGCTCACAAAAGTCTAGTTTGCACACTTTGACATCTTTCAACAGTCCTTGTTTTGCCAATGTTTGCAAGGACTTTTCACCAGCATGTCCCAAACGCATATGCCACAACTTGACTGCTTCAGACTCCTTGTCGGTGGAATCTGCTACTGTTACCGTCCCAACGATTGTATCACCTTCATAGTAATATAAATTATTCCTCCTGATGCCTTTCATCACCACGAGCGAGCCGGATGTAGCTTTCATAACTCCATCTCGCAAAGTCACTACCAAGCCTTTGGATTCCAAGGCTCCTAATGAGATGAGGTTTTTCTTCAAACTCGGCACGTACAGAACATCCGTCAAAACTCTGGTGGAACCATCGCGATTCTTCAAACGGATTGAACCTATCCCAGTTGTCTTACAGGCATTATCATTACCCATATAGACAACCCCTCCATTGATCTCCTGAAAATTGAAGAACCACTCCCTTATGGGAGACATATGGTAGGTGCATCCTGAATCCAAAATCCATTCGTCTGGATGAGATGATGAAGGTGAAACCACAAGTAAAAATTATGAGTCTTCACTTCCACCCTCAGCAACATATGCATCTTGAGGAGATTTTCCCTTCTTCTTCAACTTAGGACAGTCTTTCTCTCAGTGTCCCTTCTCATGGCAGAAAGCACACTCGTCTTTTTCAAGCTTGGCTTTAGAACGTGATCTTCCTCGTCCATTCTTCTTTTGGCTCTTCGACCGACCTCTTGCAACTAACGCTTCATCTTCTGCTGCTGCATTCTTCGTCTCTTGTTTGTTCTTCTTCCTCAACTCGTAGCTATACAGAGCAGAACTGACCACTGCAAAAGTTACATCGTCCTTCCCATGGAGAAGAGTAGTCTCTAAGTGCTTGAAGTCATCTGGAAGTGATGACAACAACATAAGAGCCAAATCTTCATCGCTGAATGTGACGTCCAAGTTCAACAAATCTGCAACCAATTGATTGAATGCAGTGACGTGGTCATTCATCGATGTGCCATGCTGGTACTCGAATCGGAACAGTCTCTTCTTTATGAGGAGCTTATTCTGGCCACTTTTCTTCAGAAATTTATCCTCCAAAGCCTTCCACAAAATGTGAGCAGAGTTCTCATTCTTGAACGCGTACTTCTGCTCCCTCGACAAACACGAACGAATTGTTCCACATGTTAAGCGGATGATATTCTTCCAGTCCTTCTCTTCAACGTCTGTTGGCATCTTTTCTTCAATCGCAATGTCGACGCCTTGCTGAAAGCCGGAATGAATGCAGAGGATGATGCGCCATTGACCTCCTTGGACATCTCGGAACCGAATGCAGTGCTCGCCTCTCCAAATGAGCCTGAGACGAACCATCGGCTCTGATACCACTTGTTGGGGTATCACAACAAGCGCAGCGGACAAAAATACCCCTCCAACAAATATGGCGAACACTACTCCAAAATAAGCCAACACAAATAAAAGACGAGAAAGAAAATAACACAAAAATTGATAACGGAGTTCGGCGAAAATAGCCTACGTTTCCGGGCACCCCCAACCGCAACGCCAAATTTACTAAACTCACCGACAAAATACAACTAGGGTTAAATAACCCACAAATCAGGATTTCCTTAATTAAGGATTTCCTTCTAAATAGGAGAGAATAGAATAAGGTGCAATTGTAACCCAAAGGCAAGGGACCTATTTATACTAATAAGATCTTACACATCTTTGGTATACATCCGATGTGGGACAAAACTTAATCAAAATCTAACAAAAGCCTCCACTGGTAATGAGCAAATAATGGACTTTTCTCTATCAGCACCACAACAAAAATCAGTTGTGGAGGACAAACTCTCAACACCCAAAGAGACCAGGAGAAGATGGAGCAGAAAGTAGACTAAAGCAGAAGGTGTCAGCCCCTCTCAAACAACTGATACTCCCTCTACTCAACATGAGAGTGGTAAAAGAAGCAGAAATGAGGACCCTGAACTCTCAAACAACTCAGCACAACCAAACATCAAGACCAGCCCAAAGAAAAAGCAAAAGTTGCACACTACACAGGTGGAGGAAGCCAGCCTGAAGTGGCCCCAGGTGGACAAATGACAGACATGGTGTGGAACTGTAGAGGTCTGGGTGGGCCCTCTACAGTTCCCTAACTGAAGGAATTTTGGAGAACCACCCAAATTTTGCTTTCTTGTGTGAAACTAGAAAATCCAAAAACTTCATAAATACTGTCTATAGAAATTTGGGAGTAGAAAATAGATGGGTTGTGTCTGATCCTATCAACAAAGGGAAAGGATTGTTAGTTTTTTGGAATAATGAAGTGGTTATTCATCAAATCCTTTGTAATCCATTTTGTATTGAAGTAGAATTCAGCCTCTCCTCTAATAATGAAAAATCTTGGTTTATTTTTGTTTATCTAAGTCCCTGCAGGAGAACTCGAATAGAACAATGGCAGTACCTCAACCATGCTAAAGTCAATTGGGGCAGCAAGTGGGTGATAGCAGGAGATTGGAATGATATCCTGTGCCAAGGGGAGAAAAATGGAGAAAGATGGAGACCAGAAGAGAGCTTTTGGGGCTTCATAAAATGTCTAGCAGACTTGGGGGCTCAAGAAATATATATGGAAGGCTACCCTTTCACTTGGGGCAACAACAGGGTATCTGAGGGATACATTGAGGAAAAGCTAGACAGAATGGTGGCCTCTCTTCACTGGCTTGAATCTCACCTATATGCAAAGGTGCTCAACATATTTAAAAGTGCATCAGATCATAACCTTCTATTACTCCACATTGGCAATCCATAAGATCACAGGAAAAGAATCTTTTGTTTTGATAAGAGATGGCTCAAAAAATCGGGCATCAAAGAGGAGATTCAGAGAGCATGGAACCAGACATCCTATGGCTCCCCAATGTACAATATCACTGAGAGGATTAAAGCCACCAGAGTAGCCCTATTGAAGTGGAGCAGATCCTTTAAAACAGCAACTGCTAAAGATATTGAGAGACTCACCACTGAAATGGCTGGGCTGAGAGAGCAAGGGGGTAAAAGAAACTGGGAAAGATGGAGCATTTTAAAAAAGCAGCTGGATGAAGCATATAAATCAGAGGAGTTGTTTTGGAAGCAAAAATTCAGGGTGTTATGGCTTAAAGAAGGTGACAAGAATACAAAATTCTTCCACGCCTTCACACTCCAAAGAAGAAAGCAAAATGCAATCTCAGGGCTAGTAAAGGAAGATCAAACAGTTTGTACTACCAGAGAGGACATAACTGACTGCCTCACAGGCTTCTACCAAAGCTTATTCACTACAGAGGGGTCAGTTGATGTTGGCAATATTCTCAGCTATATCCCATCTACCATTACAGAAGAGCAAAATGACACTCTTGTGGCTCAAGTGACAGAGGAGGAAATCAAGAGTGCTTTATTCAACATGCATCCTGACAAAGCCCCTAGATGGGATGGTATGACACGTGCATTCTTTCAATCTTTTTGGAGTGTCATTAAAAATGATTTATGTGGTGCTGTTTTATCTTTCTTCAACATTGGTCATATGCTTAAGAATTGTAATCTCACACTTATCACTCTTATCCCTAAATGTCAATCACCTATCACTATGGGGGATTATAGACCAATAAGCCTGTGTGAGGTCATCTACAAATTCATATCTAAAATTCTTGCTGATAGATTGAAGCCATGTCTGCATTTATGCATAAGAAACACTCAAGCAGCTTTCATTCTAGATAGACAATTACATGATAATGTTATCATTGCACAAGAAATTTTCCATTTTCTTAACAAACACAGAAATGGACCCAAAAGGTATATGGCCCTAAAGCTTGACATGTCAAAGGCTTTTGACAGAGCTGAATGGGCTAGTATCTGGAAAATCATGGAAAAGATGGGTTTCCATTCCAAATTCATAAAATGGATTATGGCATGCGTGCAGTCTTCCTCTTTTTCTTTCAAACTAAATGGCCATCCTACAGGGTACAATTTGCCTTCTAGAGGAATCAGGCAAGGAGACCCCGTCTCCCCTTGCCTATTCCTCTTAGTATCAGAGAGCTTATCTTGCTTAATTCAGCATGAACTGGCAATAGGGTCATATAAGGGGCTGAAAATCTCAAGGCAGGGTCCTACTCTCAGTCATCTTTTCTTTGTTGATGACTCATTACTATTTTGCCAAGCTACTGTTGAATGTGCTAATCTCATCTTAACTATGTTGGAGAAATACAGGAGATTTACAGGTCAACAGGTTAACATGATGAAGTCATCAGTGTTTTTTAGTAAAAACAAACCTAAAAATGTGCAGAGAAGTATATGCCATATTCTGCAGAGCATCACAGTGCATAATTCATCCAGATATCTCGGATTACCACTTGGCATTGGTTGATCCAAAGGAGAAACCTTCAAATATGTAGTGGAAGCTGTCAAAAGCAGATTACTGAGTTGGAAGAATAAATTCCTATCAAGTGCTAGCAAAGAAGTTCTAATGAAGGCAGTTCTCAATGCCCTCCCCACATTCACTATGTTCTGTTTCCTTCTACCAGTGGGCTTGTGCAAAGAGCTATCTCAATTGTTTGCAAATTTTTGGTGGTGCTCTCAACCTGCAACTAACACTGGTATTCATTGGAAGGCATGGCACCTGCTATCTCTTCCTAAAGCAGCAGGGGGCTTGAATTTCCATGACCTCCAAATGTTCAATGAATCTCTGATCTTAAAACAGCTTTGGAGGCTGCTGACAAGGCCAGATCTTCTTATGAGTAAGGTGCTAAGGAACAGATACTTTCCATCTGGGGATTTCTTTGGAGCCAAACCCACCCAAAATGGTTCATGAATGTGGAGGTCATGGCTCAAGGTTCAGAAAACATTCCTTCATGGTTCAAGATGCAGGTAAGGGATGGCAAAAGACAAGGATATGGGAACACCCATGGGTTCCCAATCTCCCAAATCATAAGCTGCTGCAGAGAGGCCCCAATGCCCCAAGAATAACATGGGTTTCTGAACTCATTGCTTCATATAAAGTATCATGGAATGAGGAACTCATTAGAAGTTGCTTCTCTCCCTCTGATTGTGAAGCCATCCTTCAAATCATAACTTTGAGCAGATACTTACAAGATAAGGCTACTTGGTCTTTCAACTCAAAACAGGTACTCACAGTAGCCTCTACTTATGCTCATTTAATTGCTAACAGAATGCTACTGTTGGATATCCCGGAGGGGAGTGCTAATGCCAAAAACATCAGGAAAATGAGAATTAGAAGCTGGAAGCTCAAAATTAAAGGCAAGGTTAAACATTTCATTTGGAAATGCTATAGTGGTATCCTCCCAGTGGCCACAAACCTGCACAGAAGAGGACTCAAAATAGGCATCATCTGCATGTTATGGTCAAGAGCCTGAAACAATCGAGCACATTCTATTTCAATGCCCTAGAACAGAGAAGGTGTGGAGATTAGCACCTGTCCACTGGGATGGGCCAGCAAAGTTCAAGGACAGCTTCAAAAACTGGTGGACTGACCTCTGTCTGATAAAAGAAGAAAAATTCATTGATGAAAGGATACAACTCTCAACTTACATCTTATGGCAGTTGTGGAAAACTAGAAATCTATGGATTTTTCAAAAACTTTGGACCCCGGAGAGCATCATAGTGGACAATGCAATCAAAGAGTGGATAGAATTCTCTTCTATTTAATCTTCCTCTTTTTTCTTCAAATTTTCCTAACTAGGCATTTGCAGTGGCTAGTTTCTTTCATTTTCTTTTAGTTTGCTAGACTAGACTGCATTCTTAGCAAGTAACAGCTTTCCGCTTGTTCTTGCGGCTGTTGCAAGTGCTATATTTGTATTTTTGATTTCTAGGAAGCCTTGTGCTCTCCTCTGATCCATTTGAATTGTGGTCTTTTGGACCCCGTGTACTCTTTGAACGCTTTTTATGAGAATATATATTATCGTTTCGAAAAAAAAAAGACTAAACAAATAAATACCACTATACCACCAAAACAGTCGACCCGCTAACCCCGACCATAATCATCCATCCATTCACAGTTTCAACACTAATTAAGCGTACGCATCACTTATAACAACAAACAATAACCTAATTGCCCAGGACGAAAATAAGTTTCAAGTTTTCTTTCTCGCATTTTCTTGCCCGCCCAAATTAGGGGCGGGCCCTTTTGTTGGTGCTGCACGAGGGGCACTTGTATTGCTTGATGTGCTCGGCTCGGGCAGGGGTAATCTTGACACACTTGCCATGAAACCACTTCTCGCATATGTCACAGCATATCCAGAATGTGTCGTCTGATGCATAGTTGTCCCCACATGCACCACATAATGTGTCCCCATGCTCGTCATCTTCTTCATCTTCCTCATTTTCTTCTTCCTCGTGCTCGTCCAAGTCATCATCCTCGTCTTTCGGCTGCACCTGCTTTGGCATCTTTGCCTGAGTTTCGGATGCTCGCTAGTGACAGGAAAAAAGGGAAGGTAAAAAAATTAAAGAAAAGAAAAAGAGGGAAAAGTATGATATATCACAACAGTCAAGAATGAGGCTCAAGTCTAAATAATTCATAAACAGAGTTAGGTACTGATGTGCAGCCTGATTAAAATGTCTTCTTTAGCACACACGCAGAGAAACTTTGGAATATTAGATGCAACTCTTTGATTGAGTTTGCCTTACATCTAAG